ACTAGTTGAGAGTGGATTTAGGTTAGATATCAGGAAGAAATGTTTCACAGTAAGGGCGGCCAGGATCTGGAATGGACTTCCAAGAGAGGTGGTACTATCACCTAGCTAGGAGGTCTTCAAGAGGAGGCTAGATAGTCACCTGGCTGGGGTCATCTGACCTCGGTCCTCTTTCCTGCCGGGGCAGGGGGTCGGACACGATGATCCATTGTGGTCCCTTCCGACTCTACAATCCATGAGTCTATGAATCTATGAGGCACAGCCCACTTCATGGTGGTGGTGGGGGGGTAATGCTGGGACACCATGGGGGCTCCATTCATGGAGAATGAGGATGAAAGGACACAACTGCAGCCCACGCGCACCCTGGGAAGACAGGAGCCCAGGGCTGGGGAGGAAGGGTGGGAGCGGGTTGCTGGATGGGAAAAGGCAAGATTGGCAGAGGAAGGGGCAAGTCACAAGTGAAACCAGCCAGAATGGAGTCCAGGCTGGAAAGCGGAGCAGTGCTTGCCCGTGCAGGAGCAGTGTGGGGCTGGACAGCCTCTCTGCAGAGCAGTGGGGTCAGCAGCAGAAGTGGAGCCCAAGCACTGGAGGCTACAGCTGCTCGGAGGGCACGGACTGGACTCTGCAGCCCCGGAGGTGTTCTCCAGGGCTGTGCCCTGTTTACCCAACCCCTGCCCTGCACCTGGGGAGGTGATCGGGCCTAATCCCTGCACCTCAAAGCTCCTACTGCATGGACGTCTGAGTCTCCATGGTCTCTGCCCCACCATAGCTCTCACACATCCAGAGGATCCGGTACTTCACTCCTGGGATTCTTAACTCTCCTTTTGGCCTCTTCCTACCTTCCTTCCTGACTTTCTCCTCTTGCCCCTTTCTCCACACCCTCCAACACCCCCTCCCATCACCTGGTCCCTTCCTGCCCCTTCAAGCCCCTCCCTGCCCTGCTCTCTGCCCCAGCACACCCCCCCACTCCTCTAGGGACCAGTAGCCCTTCACAGCCCTCCTGCCCCATCTTGGGACCCCTCTGACCCTACAACAAACTCTCCCTCCCTTCTACATGTAAAGCACCAACACAGGTATGTGTGTGTGCTGGAAGCCCCCTACCTGCTCTTCTGACTGGTGAGGTGCCTGTGGCCCTGGTGTCTGGGACATGGGGTTGGGGAGGGGTGGAAAGAGGGAGCCAGAGGGGACGGCACCTGGGGGCTGGGTTATGCTGCAGTGAGGGGTGGGGAGGAACTGGGGGGTCCAGGAGTGGGTGGGGGAGGGTGGAAGGAAAGGTGTGTGTGTCTATGTCTGTCTACATGAGAAAGCTCCTGCTCTGTCCCTGTGTACATGCACATGTGTGTGCATGCGTTTACACAAGTGAGCTCCTGCTGTGTGTATCCCCCAGAAACATGGGTTGTGTGTGTGCACATGTGTGTCTACATGAGTGAGCTCCTGCTGTGTGTGTGTGTTGCTTGAGGAGGAGGGGGTGTTGGTTACCCATGGACAGAGGTGCCTGTAACCCACTGCCTGTGGCTCCACAGCCAAGCTGAGCAGCCCTACGATGGCTCCATGACCCAGAGGCGGCCATTGCAGGGGGTGTTGTTCGAGTTGCCAGAGACGACAGTGCTGACTGGTGGGGCTGAACGGCAGCAGGAAGAGCACGTGCGTGGTGCTGCTGGAGCAGTTCTTTGAGCCCCAGGCCAGGGAGGTCCTGCTGGATGTGCAGACCGGCTCGTGATTCCGTCCTTGCCATGTGCGAGCCGGGCCCATCTTTGTGCACGCGGACTGTGGCCAGCAGCCCGGGCACGCGGGGCCGGAGAAAACGGCGGTGCGGCGTAGTACACTCGAGCTAGAATCAGTCACAGAGGCATAATGGTTGATTGAAAAGATTATTTACTTACACCCAAGGTGGTCGCGGTGTAGGCTGGACAGCTCTCCAGGCACGGATCTGCTTGAGTTCTCGTTGGAGGACTCTAATAAACTTGGTTCCCAGGTCCCCCGGAGCTGTTAAGACTCCGTGGGTTCGAAAATTGGGTATCTAGGATAGGGATACGTCTAGGATCGCGCCCGGCGACGGGGAGAGGCTAGAGGCCGTCGGTAATTGGGCCGCGGAGTGGTGTAGGCTCCACGGGTTCGGTAATTGGAGCCTCTATTGCCTTCTTAAGAAAGACGTGCTGGGTTCAAAGAGATCCGCAGCGCTTAGAGATCCAGGTTCTCTCTGTCTCTCTATCTTTCTCTCCGACTTGGGCAGAAACCACCCAAGCCTTTTGTACGGCTAGCAAGCCAATAGCTAGCCGCCACGTGTGCCTAAATTAAGATTGGTCAATAATGTGGCGTGGATATCAATACAAATGGCGGGAACTCCTTTACATCGTGCGTCACTATGATGCAAAAGAAATGCACCATGCAAAGAAAGCTACAAAACTGGCAGGAAATACTGTCCTGCACGCGGGTTCTCTATTGCAGCAGAACACTCCACCGTGCAAGGGAGCTGAAATTTGGCGGGAACATAATTCAGCGGTGCCGAAGCACACAAACAAAAAACCACAACTTTGGGTTGTGACACTGGACAAGGAGCCCGTGTGCCTATGAGCATCGCTACCTGCACCGACAGGTGAGTGCTGTGGGCTGAACCTGGCGTGGGGTGTACCAAGCTGAGGGGGATCTCAGCTCATGTTGTCTCATGGGCTGGTGGGACAGGAGCCTGTGCTCTTCTCTGGCTCTGTGCGGGACAACATCACCTATGAGCTGGATGGCTGTAGTGAGGAGCAGGTGATGGCTGTGGCCTGAGCATCCCACACTGCTGAGTTCATCACTGCACTGGACCAGGGCTTGGAGACTGGTGGATCCCAGTGCTTGGTTGCAAGCTGGAGTAGCCCCACTCCTCTTCCTGGGCTGCAGACAGAACCCAGGTGTCCTGGCTCCCTTCTGCAGACTCTACGCCTTCCCAGAGCTAGGGGGAGAAGCCAGGTATCCTGTCTCCCAGCCTCCTTCACTGCTCTAACCCTCCAAGTCCCCTCAGCTCTGCTCCCCAGGCTGGGAGAAAACCCAGGTGTCCTGACCACTGCCCCCTCTCCTGCCTGCAGAGCTGGGGGAGAAGGGTGGGCAGCTGTCGGTGGGGCAGAAGCAGCACATCGCCATTGCCTGGGCCCCGATTTGAGGGTGCTGATCCTGGACAAAGCCACTAGTGCCCTGACGTGGAGAGTGAAGCCACAACTGGCAGAATCAGCACTCAGGCCTGTGGGGCTGGAGGCACTCCAGGCTGCGTCCTCTCTTCTCCCCCAGGTCTGCACAGCGATACTGAGCATGGTGCTGGTGATAGCCCACTGTATGGCAATGGTGGAGGGGGCCAGCCACATTGTGGTGTTGGAGGGTGGCACCGTGGCTGAGCAAGGGACACACACTGAGCTTGTAGCACATTGTGGGCCCCACTACCACCGGGTTTAGAGGCAGCTTGCTGAGTAACCCACCACCTGGGGAAGGAGCCCCCCCTGCATCTCAGCGGGGTCTGTAGCCTAGCAGGGAGTGGGCATGTCCCTGGGGAGGGGAGAGGAGCTGGGAGGGGATGGAGGGAGCCAGGAAAAGGGGCAGCACATGAGATGGGTTGTGTTCTACCCGTTACTGCATAGACACACTTGTCCCAGGCTGGTCATGTTGCTGTGCGTCTAGCATTGCCTGCATGTTGGGGCCTGTCCGGAGGGGGGCAGGGGTTGTGTTTTGGAGACTGGGCTGGGCTGTGACAAGTGTTTTGTGACAAAGAGCTGAAATAGTGCACAAGCCTGTCATTGTCTGGTGGCTCTCCAGTCCCAACTCAGGGACTGGGACCGTGGAATGGGCTGGGGGCAGCACAGAGGCAGGGGAGGGAGGGGGCCCACGCGGGGGCGGCAGACGGGGGGG